AGGTATGTCTCCACCACAAATTTCTACAATAGAGAATCCGACTGTTGAAAAATTTTATATTAGTAGTACTAAGAATTCTTTTATGACTAGCTGGTATCAACTTATCTTATTCCCCACCAATAGAACTTATAAAAATAGTAATCTCTTTTTAAATATTTTTGGAATTTGAAAGAAGCTAATAAAGGTAAAATGGAAAAGATTTAAAAAGAAAAAGAACATGTAAATCTTTAAATGAACCCTGTTTTCTATAAATTATCAGATTTTCTGATAAAAACTCCTTATTAAACTAAAGAAGTGAACTGACTGTAAATTGCAGGCATAGCCTACCTATCACCTTACAATATGTTTAAACTTTGAATTTGATGGTACTTTTTCTTTCAGTAATAATCAGTAGATGGAATGGCTTACTATTCCATTTGTACGATTCATTTAATATTGCTTTGATTTAATATTGATTTAATATTGCTTTCTATTGATATTTGGTTAGTATTATTGAAATCTTATTACAGGTGTTTATTTCGTATTATTTACATTGTATTATCTTACATTGATTAGTTAGTATTATTAACATCTTATATGGATGCTCTTTATTTAATGGTTGCATATTAATTTGCCAAAGTAGTTCTGTATTTTTGATCGTTTTTTTTTTCAAGTCATTTACCAGTTTCTTAAAGAGGCCTTTTATTTATCAGCTACAAAATCTTATGTAAGAAGCTGGACGGGCATATAATTAGTTAACATTATGTTAAATTACCTTCCCACTTCTTTCACTTTTACTTTTTAGAAAGTTGAACGTTAGACTTTGATACATAACGAAATTGTATAGGATTTATATGCAGATAACTTCGTGTCATGACCTATATTAATTTTTTTTTCCCGGCGAATTTAAATTTAGCGTAGGTCACATTCGATTATTTAATCAAGGCAAAGCCCACTAGCCTATTTTTTTTTAAAAACTATTCTACTTTTGAAATTAAAATAATCTTCCACTCACCAGTCGTTTAACATCGCCCGAGGAGACGCATTTGTAGTGTTGAAACATAATTGCCATTAAGTAACGATTTTTAACATGATATTTTTTTTATATTTTTAACATAATATTCTAATATATATTAGGATATTAAAACATATTAAAATATATAGACAGAGAGACAGAGGGGAAAGTGAAACTAGTGAAGCAAATGGATATTTAGGCAATTGAGTAAATTGAAGTTTAGGGCATACAAGTGAGATCGAATTCATCACATTGTAAAAAGACTCTGTAAGACAAAATCACAGCTATTATTCCACATAGAGGGCAAAAGTTGAGGACAAAAGTATTGAATGAGAAAAAACAAAGATTAGTAGAAAAATACAAGTTTGTTTTTGTACACACGAAATTATTTAGATGTAAAATTGAGAAAATAAAAGAGCTTGGGAGTAAGCGAATGAGTATATTTTGAGAAAATTACCTTCACTTTTCAGGTATCAAACCTTTAGTTTTGTGTTCAGCTGAAAACGTAGAAACAAAAAAGTTTGGTAAAAGACAGAAGAGCACTTTTTAAAGTCAGGAGAAGATGTAGTATCTTAAGATAAGCGGCAAAATGTAATGAAGACAAACTTAGATTGAGATGAGTATTTGGGTTGCAAACAAAATAGATTTCATTTTTTTTATCAACGTTTGTTCTTAGTCATCCATTTAGAGCGTGGCGAGTGACTTTTTCTCTTTTGCGAATACTTGACAAGTGACTACTGTGTTTTAATTAAAAGACAATATCAGTCTCAGTTTTTTTTAATTTTTTTTATTTCTATTCATTTACAGAGAGCAGCTTCCGGTTTCTCTTTTTCGTAATTTTTCTTTTCATAAAATATCGTCGAAAAGCTTTTCCGCTTTTATCTAAAGGTAAAGTAAATTTTGGTGAATTACAATCTTATTTGTTCATTCATTTAGTATTATAAATTTTTTCTTTTTTTGAAAGTCTTATTACCATTTGTATTGAACAGAAAAGTACTTAATCCTTTTATTTACTTGAAGCATGTGTGACGATCACATGTTTAAGCAGAGAGCTTCGCAACCAATTTGGCTAACGATTGAAGACAGTACCCTGCGAATATAATAAAGCACATACCTAAAGCAAAAGAGTCTATGTTATCCAAAATCTCTTCTAGTAAAATAATTTTTGCAGATAAAAAGAAAGAATATGAGAAGAACTTAAAGATAGAGGGTCACAAAACTAAACTAGAATTTAAACATATGAAGAACTATTCGAAGAAAAAATATAGTTTGGTTTAACCCCCTTTTAGAGGTAAAATGTAAAATAGGGATTTTATTTTTCAAATTACTTGCTAAGCACTTCCCAATAATTCAGAATTACATAAGATTTTTAACAAAAGCACAGTTAAATTAAGCTACAGCTGCACCTGTAATTTAGAAACTAAAATAAATAAACAAAACGCCAGAAATTTAAAACTAACGTACAGTAAAATATATTTAACACAAGTAATTTATGCAACTGTAGAAATAAGAATAGATCTCCATCAGATGGAGCTTGTAAAACCGAAGCAATAATCTATAAAGCAGAAGTAACATATATTAACGGCCAGAATAAAAAGTACATAGGATGTACTGAAGGTACTTTCAAACATAGATATTGCAATCATAGGTCGTCATTCAAGTTAGTAAGTCTTAGGAGCTCACCAAACTAGCTATCTGTGTGGAATTAAAAAGAAGAAAACAGCATAAATCTGATTGTAAGTTGGAAAATTTTTAAAAAAGCGATGCCTTAAAACAACCACAAGGACATTTGCAACCTCTGTCAGCAAGAAAAATTAGCAATAATGACATTTCCAGATCAAAAAATCATTTTAGACCAGAGATCTGAAGTCATGAGCCTTACCAAAAATTCATCTTAAGCTTATATGAGGCTGGTCAAAAAAGTACCTACATTTCAGTTACCACCCACCGATAGTTTTATAATACCTTTGCTTCTTGTTCTTGTTCTTCTTTGCATTCTCCGCATTCTATCCATCCCTTTCTAATACACCCAACGCTGTGCCGTTTATTTATTCATTTTTAAAAATAATATAGAGTTCATAGTTTTTTTTTTTTTTTTTTTTAAATAAAGCGTTGGGAGGTCAATTGATAAAAATCGCCTCAGGTTGAAATCAATGTAGCGAAATCAATTGATCTCCTAATTTTTAAAGTTAAAAGCTCTACGGGTCATTTATTTATTTATTTTTCACACGCGTATTGAGCACTTTTTAATACTACTGTTCTCTGGTTCAATTCAAACCTTATATATATTTTATATATATATATATATATATATATATATATATATATATATATAAATAAAATAACATATATATATATATATATATATATATATATATATATATATATATATATATATGTGTGTGTGTGTGTGTGTGTGTGTGTGTGTGCGGCAACGGTTATGTTTCAAATTATTCTAGGGATTATTGAGTTGAAATATTTCTGGATCCGAATGCAGTTTTGAGACTATTTTATAGCGTTATTAACTTTATTGATTGCATTGTTATTTGTTGTTGATTGTTATTATTACCTTTGCTTGTTCTTTGCGTGCATTCATGGTTTGTTAATTTGTTTATTATTTCCTTGTTTTATTTACTTATCTATTAATTTGGATTAATACTTATTTATTTATTTTTCATGTATTAGACCTTTTGTCTCCGGTGTAACATGAAACACCCACGAGTATTTTCGGCTTTTACAAATACTAGATTAACAGTAACAAATTTAGGTCTTTTTAATGTTCTGTTGATTAGGTATATAACTAAATCTGCAATCGGGAATAAATTTACCTGTAAATAAGAATGCTAGTCAATTGGATTTCCATGTTAAATATTCTATAAAGCCCAGTTCAGTAACTTTTCCTGTTTAACTCTTACTCAAGTCGTAAAAAATAACTATAGGCAATAAATATGAAGATTAAGTCAACTTCAAAAACATAGTTCACCAATTTCAAATATAAATTTGGCATCTTTAACATCTTCAACACTGCGCAACTTTTGAAACAAACTTTTGAAGGGATAGCCCTATAATTCTGGCATATAGCCCTGCGTACAGTTGATTTCAAGCGGAGAAATAAGTTTTCTTTTTTGTTAATCAATATATAAGGCATATATAATATTTATGCAAGTATTTTAAATTTTAATCTGATAATTTCAAAGAGATTCAGCAATGGTCGCAGCAATTAACATTGCGGAAGATTCGTAATCTAACAAAAAGTTGGCAATCGAATAAGAACTTATTATTTTAAACTCAATCCTAATACAAAAATTCCATTATGTGCACCACTGATTCTATATCACTTGTCTCAATAATCAAAATAGGAATAATGGTTTTTGGGGAATAATATTTAGATTTTCTTCTGAAATTAATATATTTCTTTTACTTCTCCATTTCCAATGAGACAATCTGTTTAATGAATACTTTATGCCAGTCTTAGATTTAAAGGAAACTGCTCAGACCTCACTGCTGTAAAACTTTGGAAATCTTGCAAAAAACCGAGGGCTCTTCAAAAAATTCGTAATATGCAAAATAAAAACTTATTACAGTAAGGAAACAAAAACAGATAAGAAATCGAATGTTTCGAGTCTGTTACGCAAAAATGAAACCTAAAATAATAGTTGACTTGTATGTGATTATGTCCAATATGATGCTCCATAGGCTTTGCTGCACTTACCAGTAACCATAAAATTGCTTTATTTTTTCTTTTACTGTAACGGAACTAGTTGATGTCCCCTTCGCATGAGAGTGCTCCCTTTAAACCTTCCCATTACCCTTAGTGTTTATACAACTAAATGTCATTAGATTACTAACGGGGAAAGAGCAAGGTTTTGGCTCTGTGTTCGTGTGTGCGGGCATATATGTGTATGTTGGGGGGATAAATATAAGACATTAGAGAGTAGATATGTATATGTTAGTTGGGGTGTACATGCAAGTATATATGGGCATAAACAGAACTGAATAAACAAACGAAACCGAGGAAAGGAGGTACAAATTCAGAGAGAGAGAGAGAGAGAGAGAGAGAGAGAGAGAGAGAGAGAGAGAGAGAGAGAGAGAGAGAGAGGCTCAAAGTAAAAATAAGGGAAACGAAAGAATAAAAATATGTAGCTAATTGAGTCAGAAAAATATGGGGTGGGTGGGGAGAGAGAGAGAGAGAACAGGTCAATCATGGCGTATATAGAGAAAACGAGAGTTAGCTAGCGAGATAGACAGAATTAAAGAGCAAGAAGGAAAAAGAAATTTAATAAGAATGTTAGGAATAGTAACAATAAAAAAGATGGTAACCGAAACGATGAAGGGACGCGTTTGTATATGTACAAACGTTTGTGTGCATATGCGTGTGTATGTATGCGTGCAAGGTTGTGTGGAGAAAAGGTGGGACAAAATGGAGAAAAGAGAAAAATTCGAAATAGGAAAAAAGAGGTAACGAAAGTTTGGTGAGATTATATGTGTGTGAATGTGTGTGTGTGTGTCAATAGATAGATAGATAGATAGATAGATAGATAGATAGAGAGAGAGAGAGAGAGAGAGAGAGAGAGAGAGAGGGAGAAAGAGGGTAAAGGGAGAGGGACGAGAGAGGAGGGAGAGAGGAGGGAGAGAGGAAAGGAGAGAATATGTTAATCGTTTAACGTAGAAAGAAAATGGAAGAAACAATGACAGAAAACGGGTGAGCACAAAACATCTCAAGATAGATGCTATGGAAGAAATCTAATGAGATGGGCTGTGAAAGAGGAGGAGTCGGGTAGCATGAGGAAATTGCTGTGTGTATGTTTGTGTGTCAAATAGCATTCAGTTTATTTCGTTGTGCTAACCCTTGTATACATCCCAACAGGTGTACTCATGTTTATACATTAATGACTACACACACAAATCTGTAAAGAGTAAAGTTGATTTGTTTAAGTTATCTGTTATCATGTAAAAGCCGCGCGTCTGTTGACTTATTTAGACGGCTACATTTGTGTGAGTTGTCGGCCTTGTTAATAATTCGATTCCTCCAGTTGCTTTTCGGCCTTATTCTCGCATTTCACGCAAAAGTTTTCTATTTGAAAACTATTTTTTTAGAAATCTCACTGAAAGTTTGTATTTCGAAACACAAGTATAACGATACAGCGACAGTTTTCTTGAATGGTAACATGCGTATATATATATATATATATATATATATATATATATATATATATATATATATATATATATAAATGGGTGTTATTTTTTAATCCAACAGTATTTATTTCGTGTACTCACATGAGTACTTGAGAAAACAATAAAGAAAATGTAATCACAAGTTTTCTCAAGTATGATAGAGAAAATAAATACTGTTTAAAATAAACGGAACATCTACTCAAATAAGGGTATCCACGAAAATAACATTTAAATTAATATATGTATGAAACTCAGAAGTTATTATAGTGGATGCACGTATTTGAAATAGATGTCCCATTTTCATTTTTACTTTTAAACAGTGTGTATTACGGCTATCGGACTGAGAAAACTGAATAAAGAAAATATGCTCTTCATCATTTTTATTCAGATTTTGGAAATGTTTGTGGGCTTGTTGAAAGCATATGGATATCCAAAAGCGTAAACTCAATTGTGCACGTGTGTACATTGTTTTTTATGTGTGTGTCTGTATTTTTCTTTTCTTCACGTATTGTTACATGTGTGTGTGTGTGTGTTTATGTATATGCGGTCTCATTTAATGTCTGAGCATGCGCACTTTGCCTTTTTATAGATGGAATATTCAGTACATTGCAAATTCAAAATCGGGTTTTGTTTACATTTAAGTCCATGTGCACATTTCTGGATGTGGATATGAGCCTTGTTGGCTGTAAATGTTTCTCTATCTATTATTGTTTATATACAAGCATGCCATTACTTACTCTGGTGTAATTATATAGCCGTTTTTTAATGTGTATTTTTTCTTCAGAAAATACCTATTCATGTGGCTACGTTAAATTAACGTTCGCTTTTATATTTATGCCCGTTTCTGTACTCATATTTAAAATTGAGTTCGGGAAAAGATTCAACAGAATCTAGTCATAAATGAACTGGATCTTGAAATGTATGAAGTTGAATATATTTGGGCTCAGTTTACAATAATATCTGTGTGTATTGTCTGTGTGTGTGTGTGCATGTGTGTGTGTGTGTGTGTGAGTGTGTGTGTGTGTGTGTGTGTGAGAGAGAGAGAGAGAGAGAGAGAGAGATTATTTGTAACATAATATTCAACATAATTTAAAATATTCGAATAAAGAAATTCTTGATTTAGTGACCCCAGAGTTTTTTGAAATCATTCAACACAACTTTCCAATTTCGACAAATTTTCAACCAGTAGTAGACAAAAGTCGTCAAGTCATTTACATTGAAACGAATTCACTAAAAATATTCAATCAAAATATCACTTTGGTGTCAATATGATTCTGAAAGAATTTTTCGGTTCATTGAAAAATTTTCTTCAAGTTGATGTTGATTGGATAAATAAGGAAGTAAAATGGATGCCTAAAAATAAAAAATAACAATTACTCAAGGTAAGAAAGCCTAGTCTGTTGTAGTATTTAATCAACAGTTGAAGGGATAAAGATTCACAACTTTCCCCAAGAGCATTAGTGTGAATTGAACGAAATAGATCCGCTCAGGAATTGAACTGGATACACATATCCAAGGATCATAGCGCGCTTTTAATTGATGTTTCGCCTCCTCAAGCACCTATAACTTCACTGCTTAAACTTCCTTTTCATCACAATTGATGATGATACAATACAAAATATTTCAATTTCACCCTGTTAGACACGATTAATGTAGGTCTCTCTAAGTCTGTTTTTGTTCCTCCTTCAGTTTAAACTGAAATTATCTTGCATATTCTCATTCACAATTTCTCTTTGCAATAACTTGAAAAGGTTCCAGTTGATATGTTGAAGTTTTTCGTGAGTTCTCTTGACTGACATTTTAGAATCATTGCCATTTACAGTATCGACATTTGGTTGACATTGCTTTTGATTTTAAAACTCTCTACTTGGAAAATCTTGAAATCAAAATTTTGCTTTTAGTCATTGTTTCTAAATTTATATTCTTTAGAATTTAACTCAAGTATAGTTCAGTTAAAAGTAATCTATCTATCTATCTATCTATCTATCTATCTATCTATCTATCTATCTATCTATCTATCTATCTATCTATCTATAACACATTTCAAAGTTACCAGAGGGGTCCACTACATGGGTGAATTACTTCTAAGTAGTGAAATCATTTACGTGGTGTATTGGGTTGTCCAAAAAAGTTAATTCTGCTATTAAGGAGAAAATTTGCTTAATAAAATGAAAGAACATTTTAGCCAACACTTTAAAGGCTACACATTATTTGTTTTACAAATATTGTCAAAGCAAGTCCTAGATTGTGATTAAGTCTGCAGATAAAATATACTTTTAAAGTAAGATATATTTAAATATATGTATTGAAACCTGTTTCATTTATTATAATTCTTTCATATCTAAAAAGGTAACAAGGCAGAATATCAATTGTTGTCTTTACTTTTAGTTTAGTTTAATATTCAGGAAATAAATAAGAACATTCAAAGCAACATAGAATTTTTTATATAAGAACAATGCAATGAAATATACCATCATTTTTTTAAATGATTAAATATGCCATCATTTTTATGGCTCAGTTAAAAAAGCGAAAATCAAAATTTGAGCAGTTTTTCATTTTTGCATAAAAATGTAATTTATTTTCAATGGAATTTAGTATTGAATACTCACAGAACACGATATTTTTTTAAAATAAAATATCGATTAAAATATTTTTCTCGGAAAGAGAAAAATGAAAAATATCAAGTTGGGAACAATGACGGTAATTTTATTTTGAACAACCTAATCGTAACGAAAACCTGGATCTTTCGAAAACCATTTAAGATTGTTCGCTTTAAAGCTGATTACCTTTGATTCCACTCTGTGTATGTTGCATAAAACCAAAGTTTATCACATAGATGAATATATTACTGCTGATCTTTTAGTCTACATAAGGCTTTTTAACATAAAATCATTTTGTGCAATGCTTCATCACCTAACGATTAATTTAATAGTAACGAAAATATTTTCAAAGTCTACAAATTGTGAAGTATATCTCGATTTTAATAATATTTTTTTTCAATTAGCAATGAAAATTGTACGCGAATTAAATGTAAATTAAAGGAAACGTATTCTACACTTCCATTACCTTCTACTGAGTTTCTTGATGAAAAAAAAAACTATACTCTCAGATGATTTAAGGTTTATTCCAGTTACACACCAAATATAGCGTTAAATTGCAACCTGAAAGAGGACCGAAATTATTTTACTGTCGTGAAACTTTTCATGTAAAAAAGATCCATTTAAACTTCTGACTCTTGTTAATGGTATTTCCCATATACTGAAATGAGATTTCCTATGTATCCAGACTTTAGTGACAGTCTGTGTATAGCCTAAAAGTGCTTAAAACATTTTCTTTTAAATAAATAAATCAGCGTTTAAGTATCTCAAGAAAAATCACCCAACACAATTGCTATCTTACTATGTTGCTGTTATAACAGCAATAAATAAAAAGTTGATATGTAAGGCAATTGTAGTTTTTGTTCCAATTTGCTTCGAATCAATATTCCTAATTCCTAGTTGTTTTCAATACAAGATGAAGAAAGCGAAACTAAAGGGAATTGAAACTGATTAAAAGAGCCTTTAGAATTCTAACAGTTTTTGCCTTTAACATTTACTCAACAACTGAACCGCTAAATAGAGTATGCGCGGTCACGAGCGTGTGTGTTGTTGGTGCCCGAGGTCCAGTTGATCAGCTGCTCTCCATCTGGGCACATTTGCCTGAAGAGTGGTAACTTTAACGAAGACAACTTCCGTTTCCTCTTGTTTTCTCGTGTGCTGTCAGCTATTTGACAGTATGTATACAAATGTAAACAATCATAAGGATATCCGAACGACTTTTCCAAATTTGACTTATCTTCGCATCTGACATCTCAATAATTATAATAATAATGATGATGGTGAGATTAAGCTTCGTTACAATAACAGGAATTTAATGATGCATGGGTGCTTCTTAGGATTAATAAAAACATTTTTCTTTATACAGGGTATAAATATTCCAATTCAATAAAATGTTGAAAATTTAATTTCTGAAAATATGCATTTAGGGACAAATGAATATTTTCAGAAATTAAATTTTCAACATTTTATTGAATTGGAATATTAATAAATAACATCTTCAATATAATTTCAATCATTTGTGATGTAAAGGTTGATGCGCTTTGCAAGATTCATGTGAAATCGGCGCAATAACTCCACATTGCCGTCACTTTTATCACATTCACTCTTTATGCATTCAATCAAATGTGTTGCATCTGTGATTTTCATTGAGTATACCTTCTCCTTTAGCATACCCCAGAAAAAGAAGACAATTCTTTCTTCTTTCGAAAAAAACATTTTTAATCTGTGGGGGTCAAAAATATAGTTAATGAGATTTCATATGTATCCAAACTTTAATGACAGTCTGTGTATAGCCTAAAAGTGCTTAAAACAAATGAATTAGCCAACGGCGGTTTTTGAAGTGTTAGTTGCACATTTCGAGACATCACATATGTCATATACTGAAATCATTAATGAAGTCTTTGCACAATTACCGCTTGGAAAATCTACATTTGCTTTGAAAAGAATATTTTAATAGTTTCCATAAGGTTAATTATGCTATAACCATAACCAGCGCGAAGACAAGAATAGGATTTTAGACCAGATATCCAGTTAGATGACTTATGCTATAATTTCTGAACTGAAGTTGTGCTTTATCGTGTATA